CTCTGTAGCAGCACCGGGCGTGGGGGCTCTGGTCTGCGGGGCGGCGCTCACCTGGGTCTGCGGGGCTGTGGCCCGGTGGGCAGGCGAGCTCTTCTCCAGCACGCTCAGACGGGCCTCCAGCTTGGCGATGGCCTGCTGCAGGTCCTGCACCACTGCGGGGGGAGGGGATGCTGGTCAGACCACAGCAGCTGGCCCCACCCCTCCCCCACCGAGCCCAGGACCTCACCTCCCCGCAGGCTCTGGTTCTCCACTTCCAGGCTGGCGATCCGGGTGACGAGCTCACTGTGGTCTCCGCTGGGCCCGCTGGAGGCTCCAGGGCCTGAGCTCTGCAAGGCAGGGAGAGTTGAGGGTGTGGCACCCAACCCGCTCCAAGGCCCCCACAGCCACTGAGCAGCACAGCCCCGAGCTGGGTAGGAGGCCTGAGACACGAGACCCAGTTCCTGTCTTCCCAGCCAGGCACCTGCCATGCCCCACCAGGAGGGGAGGCGGCAGCCCTGTGGGGCCAGGGTGACTTTTCGGCCAAGCAGGAAGCTCAGAGCCACGGCTGCCACTGCCCGGTGTGAGGCAAGGAGCAGGACTGACAGTCCCAGGGGCAGCCTGGCCTGGGGCCCCAGGGGGGCTGGGCAGCATGGCTTTGAGGTGGAAACGGGAGGGGAGAGCAGCTGAGGGGCCCGTGACCAGGAAGGATCATGCCCCAGCAAAGGGCAGCCCCCTCAGCAGCCAGCACAGCGCCCGGCCTTCCCTGCCAGGCACACACGCTGCCCAGGGAGCTCAGCCACAGGGCGCCACAGCTCAAGCCAGAATCACGCACTCGTGGAATGGCTCTGGGACACGGTGCACCTGGCCTGTTCCCCGGGGTCACTGTCCCTCCTCCAGTGTCCAATCATGACACAGACCTTGGCCTGAGGCCCACCCAAGCAGCCACAGGACAAGCCACTGCTCCGCACTCCCCGACCACGGAGAGGCTAAAGGTCTCCAGGCAGGACAGGTGCCGGGTGCCTGGCTCTGTCACTCACTGCGGCAGCGCAAGGCTGACGCTGTCCCATGACCCACTGGGCAGAGCCGGCTCAGGGTGGCCAGGGCGCCGTGTGGCTGGAGAAGGAACACTGACCGGTGGGCTCTGCTCACGGCACTCCCCTCCTCTCAGCGCACCTCAGTGCCCTGCTGTAGTCAGTCAATAGCACCCATCAACTCTGCAGCTCCCACTGGACCACCCACACCCGCGTCTCAGACACCACCACCAGCCGTGGCCCTCACACCATTCCCACTAAGACCTCCGATGGCCTGGATCACACAGGGTGGAAGCCAGAGCTACCGCCCCTGCCCATTCGTCCGGCCCCAGCTCCGGAGGCTCCTCTCCCAGGGGTTAGTGCCGGGAGCAAGTGAACAAGGTCCTGGCAACAGGCTGGTGCCTCGAGCCCTGCTGTGCAGCAGGTAAGTGGTAGGAAGACAGCAGGTCGCTGGTACCAGCCCCGCGCGTCACCAGTCCTCGCCATGAAGGCTATGTCCGCCCCACCCCAGCATGAGCTCGCACCCAAAGCTCTGGAGCAGGGCCTCTACATGGCGACCCCGTCACACTGAGGTGGTTAGGGTGGTCTAGCCCACTGGCTGGTGTCCTCGTAGGACACACAGAGGCAAGAGGATGCAGAGGGAAGAAGCGGCCATCTGCAGGCAAAAGAATGCGGCCTTGGAAGGAACCAGCCCTGCCCACGCCTTGATCCTGGACTCCAGCCTTCAGATTACGAGAAAATGAGTGACGCTTACGCTGTGGTCCGTGGTGCTTTGCGACCCAAGCCCCAGCAGCACACCACAGCTGTCCCCAAAGACCAGGACCCAGCAGCTGGCCACCACAGCCAGGCCCGAGGGTGGGAGGAAGAGCCTCCTTGTGCAAAGACCTCATGCCGCCAGGGCCTGTGTCTGCCTGGCTCGCCCTGGGTGAGGTAGGAGGCAAGGCAAGTAGGGGCCACGCCCAACGCAGGGCCTGCTGGGCAGCTGGCGGTGGCACCACTTCCCAGAGGACACCTGCCCGGGGCTGCCCACCCTGTGACCAGGAGCCAGTACACCCGAACCAGCTGTGCAGGCAGGGGACCTCACACGGCAAAAGGACTTGGCAGATGTGACGAGGCAGGGGAGATGGGGGGTGACCCTGGACTTTCCAGGTGGGCCCAGCACCACCCCAGGCCCACAGGAGAGAAAGGCAGGGAGAGGAGCTGTGACAAGGGCAGGCCGTGAACTGCTGGTGAGGAGCCACGGGCCACGGAGCGAGCAGCTTCTGAAGGTGGAAAGGCGGGAAGGGTGCTCCTGGAGGCTCCAAAGGAGCACAGCTGTGCGGACACCTGCCTCCCATGTCCCAGAGAGAGAGGCCCCGGCTCCTCTGGCCAGGGAGGTGGACCAGTAGGTCCACTGCCTCCTAGGGACACGCCTCCTGGCCCGGCAGGGACAGAGGTGGCCATGGTCCCATCTGGGACCCGGAAGCCGAGCTGGGCTGCAGGGCGCTGCCTGGGCCTCAAACTCGATGGTGCTCGTTCTGTGATTTGAACTCCACCCCCTGTGACCCGGCTCCTCTGGGGAGGTCAAGGCCTAGGAGGGAAGGGAGGCTCCCCTTAGCACAGAGCAAGCAGAAGGAAGTGGCTGGCGGGGAGGGAGCAAAGGAGGGGACCCCGTTGAGCGCCAGCAAGCAGGCGATCAGCACAGCAAGGAGGCAGAGGAAGGTGCTGTGGTCTGGGCCCAGGTCCGTGCCTGCGCAGCAGCCTCGCCCTGGCTGTGCTCCAAGGGCAGAGCCGTCAGCGGCACCGGGGGAAGTCATGCGCAGTGGCATGAGGGCGGCGGCAGCGCCAGCCTGGATGCTCGGCCACGGTACTCACTCCGGCCAGGGATTTCTGGATGTTCTCTCGGGCTCTCGCAATGTCCCGGAGGATCACGCTTGCGCCGTTCTCCTGCAGACAGTGCAGAAAGAACCAGTCTTTTCTTTCATTAAAAATTTTATAATTTCAAAAAAAATAGGAACCTTATGTCCCTCGTGTGGAGAGCGAGGAAGCGACGTGCAGGACGGAAGCTCGGCGGGGCAGCGAGATGCGCGAGGTGCAGAGCCCTGCCACAGTGGCCTCGGCCCCCAGGCTTGCGCGTGCTGTGCTCCCAGTGGCCTCAGACCGGGGTGTGTGCTGCCTCGTGCTGAGACAGGAGCAGCCAGGACCCCCCCACAGACCCCCACCTCCAGCACCTGGGGCAGAGCCACCCAGCGCCCCAAGCACAGCCCTCACCTGGCGCGAGGAGCCCGTCACAGGCCCGTTCATCTGCTCGTAGAATTTCCTTTCTGCATCGTCGTATTTGAACTTGTCGAACCAGATCTTCTCGTGCATGAGGAAGTTTGTGGCCATTTTCCTGCTGGGAGGAAAGGAGAGGCTGGCAGCCTGGACTGCACAGGCCCCTTCTCACAGCCCAGATGCCAAAGGTGCAGGCTAGCCGCCCAGTGCCTGGGAGACCAGGCCTCCAGGCCCCACGCAGAGCAGGGAAGCCCCCCATCCACGCCACCTGTTCCCACTGCCACGCGGCTCCCTTCCGTGCACAGGCCAGTCCCAGGCCCGCCCCAAAGACCAGTGGCTCTCAAAGTGTGGCCAAGACCTTCTGGGGATCCCGAGGTCCCCCCTTTTCCAAGCACACATCAGTGCAAAGCTGGATCCGAGTCCGACAACACACACTCACAGCTGAACACACTGCCTCTTACTGAGCCGACACGAAAGATTTCAAACGTAAAACGAGGCCGCCTGCTCAGAGTCTTCTTACAGGAAAGCTTTCTCATCAAGTGTCCACCAGCAAGTAGCAAGCTGGTCACTACTCCCAGTGCACACTTGCAGCACCTCGGCTAATGTGGTGGACCCTCAGATAAAACAAAAGCTCTCCAGGGTTCCGAGATCAGTCAGTTTGAGAACTACTGCTCTAGACCTGGGCAAGCCAACTAGGGCCCAAGCCACCCCCAGAGCGGTGTCCGTCTGTGCACATACTGCCGGGCACAGACGCCCCTCTGCTGCTTTCCCCCAGCCTGACAATGCGGGGCAGCTGCCCAGACCTGGGCCCGCAGAGCCCTCTTGCTCCTCACCCATCCCACCCGTTCCGTTCCCTGTGCCCAGGAACCCAGGTCCTCCAGTGGCCTCTTGCTGACAAGAGGAAGTGGGTCTCACCCATGAAAAGCCAGCTCCATGAACTCGGCTTCTGCCCCATGCCCCCTCCTCCACGATGGGCCGTGCCCTGTCCCTCAGGAGGCCAGTCCTGTCAACCCATCAGATCAACCCCTCAGAGGGCAGAGCAAAGGGTCTCCCACCGGGAATCGGGGGCCAGGCTGGTGCCTCTTCCCTGGAGACCCAGGGAGCCTCTGCAAGTCCCACTGGCCCAGCCTGGGCCCAGCCCCTGCACCACAGGGCCTCTAGCTGCCCTAGAGTCCATAGTCTTTGCCCACCTGCCTGGGAACCCCTTCCCTGGCCAGGCACTGGTCTGCCTCGCTCAGCGCATCCTTCAGACGCAGGCCAATAGCCTGGCCGTGGGCGGTACCGGTGGGCCCAGGAGCCTCCGATGGGCCCCTAGGCATTGCCCAGACAATACCCTGCATGGGGCAGACTCAGCCCTGAGCTGTGACCCTGGAGACTGCACTGCCCAACCCACTCCTGCATCCAACTTAGCCGGGTCCAGGGGTCTCGGGAAGAGCTCGCTGGGGTGGGGGCAGGGAGGGGGTGCGCGCGGCCCCAGCCCAGGCACCCATCCAGCATGTTTCTCCTACTTGGGTCTCAGGCTGGACATGGACGGGCCAGACCGGGCACTGGGTCGGTGAACCAGAGCCGTGGATTCGAGGCGCCAGGCCACGCGCAGGGCCTCGGCAGCGTGGTGGCGGCACTCCGCACTGTCGTAGGCGGGCTTGCTGAGCCAGGGCGCCTCGGCGTCCTTGTGCAGGAAGGA